CACATATTTAAAGAAAATATTATTAGCACATCTCATGACTGCACGGTTGGTGCGGTGGCTGGGCAACTGGCTGCCGTGCAACGTGTCGCGGGTCGATTCCCGCACGGAACAACTGTTTGTGTGATCCACAAATTGTTGTTGCGGGTCTGGGTGTCATATGCATGTGAAATTGTATGTTTGTAACCGCACCCACGACACGGGAGAAAATCCTAATGTGGGGCAACATTATTTTTTGAACGTCTGCATCGGTTCAGAAGCACATATTAAAAGAAAATATTATTAGCACATCATAGTCGAATACCAATCACCTCCTAAATATACCACCAAGAACATTTTTCCAAACATCAAATATATCAATCTAATATAAAATCACGATTTTTAATACAATAAGTTATGAACATGAATTCACACGTGTACTAATGGTGACAAAAGTGCATGGAGAGCTTAAGGTCGATTATTGACTGATAGGTTTTGCATAACTCTATGTCATCCAAGGTATACTATTAAAGCGATGAAACGCCGTACAAACGATTTTGATTTGGAATCCTCCATGCACTTATGACACTGATAGTACATTTACATACATAGGTATTTTATTTATTTATTTATAAGTACATTATATATCTTGTAATCTATTTATTGTTATATGGAATGAGTATGTGGATACTGATATATCTTGATCTGTCTTACATAAGGACTTTTTATTAACAGTAGGGCTACGTAGATTAGATTTTTTTATGTATTGTGAGTGTATTATAAATTGGAATTATTGAAAAAAACTTTCGTCAATTTGGTAGGTTATAATTAGAAAATATAAGTCCAGGTTTCCTCACGATGTTTTTCTTCACCGTATGTCAATAGTGTCTAAATAATCATAGAAAGTACATATAACTTGGAAAAAGTTTCATTGGTGCTTGCCAGGTTGTAAACCCGCACCTTCATGCATGAGAAGTCGACTTAAACTTCTACACGACACTATAACACTTTGAAAATATAATAGAATCTCTTATGAACTAAGAATAACTTCATTATTAAGAAAGGTCAAGATATATCAGGAAAGTGTTTAATTAATTTCGTTTCTAGTAATAACCAGTCAATTTGCCGTACTCAGAGACATTTAATGATCACTTAAAACCGTTCCTTAGTAACAATTTCGTTCAAAAATGCCAGAGACTGATTAAGTTACCTTTCAATAGTTTTGAGAAGACAAATAAGTGTTTTCAAAAATATTATTCAACCTCATTTTTACCTGGCTGTAGTAAGAGCGTTCTTTTTCTTACGACATTTTTTATTCTATCGAAAAAGCCTTACAATATTATATTTCCGAACTTCATATTAACAGCTTGTTTCAATATCTCCATAATTCAAATACCAGATAAACTTATATGAGACATAGATGATAGAACATACAAATTACACTCTTAATTCCAATTTATCTGTAACATAACTCTTAAACAGCCATTGTAAAACAATACGGTAGTTTCCAACTAGTCAAATTCAATACTTTTATCCAAATGTCAAAAACGATACTTTTCTATGAAATTTGTATGAAAAACAGAGTTATGACGTTTTTGCGCCAAATAGTTTACTTGTTAAAATGAAGTAAAAAATATCTTAAATTAAGCGTGTCGATCGATCGATGAATAAAAGTATAGTCATTTTTCAATATTTTATTGTATTGAAACGTCGAATTAATTTATTTTTAACCTAGAAAACTACCCAATTGCTAAATGTGACAAGACCTTACAATAACGATTTAAAACACCACCAAAATCTTTTGCGAACACTTAGACTGGTATATAACTAGAAACGACAATCCTTCATAATTGCAAAAAAATCGCCACAAATATAAAAAAGTTATATTTATACTAAGTATAATAACATCGGAATAAAGACACAAGCAGGGCCGATCTTAGGGTCTTTTGAACGGGGCATTATACTGGGATCAACCGCGGCGAGAGCGCCAAAATTAACAAAAACATTAAACTAAGGACGACGAAGAAAATTTTTATTAATCCCGCCATTGTACTTTTCACATAACCTTAAAAATGTTAAACCGGCACTGACATTAGACACACGGAAAAATATTTACAAAAATTTTTTTAAAGCTAAATGGATTCAGATTAAAAAAACGTTATGTCAATAATGTAATGTTAAAAAAACTTAAAAAAAATGTGTTATTTTATAACAAAACAAAACGTTACGCAATTGTAATGGGTTGAGAAGTGTGTCTACTTCGGTTTTGGGAAAGAAACTGGCACTAATACCTTAAAAATAAAATTACGCCTGTAAATCCGATGAGCCAGGTATGAAAGGCCATAATTTTCCAATAATATTTTGCTAAGCTCAAATTACCCGAATCCCAGACAAACCACTTGGCCAATAAGTTAATCTGTGATATCGGAAGCTGTTTTGTACGTTTTCCAACTTTTGGCTACCAAATTGATGGTCTTATAAGGCTATTTTTCAAATGTTACTATCGTGAGACATGCTCAATTTATTGGAAATAATGACTTAAGTCACATGGACTAACCGAGAAAAGCTCTACTAGTTTTAAACGCGACATAATCGCAACGCGCACGCTACTCATGAATAAGAGTCCCGTTGTGACTTGAAACTAGTTGAGCTTTCCTCGTTTTATTCACTTAGGTAAGTCATTATTTTCAATAAATTATGTCTTATAAGACCTTACTCATCACTACCGCCATCTAGCGAGTTTTAAAAACTCCTATTAAAATACATTTTTAAACCAGTTACCGACCCAAAAACGAAGTAGACACAGTTACCTAAAAAACTTAACAAGTAAAAAATAAAACAAATAAAAAAACATGGCTGTTCGTTTGTTTATAGATAGGAACTTAAAACTACGCAATAAAATATATAAAACATATCAAAATTATTTATAAACCACACCTATTATAGGTAAAGAGAGTTTGATCTTTAAGATTCTATAGTGTGTTTATTAAGGATTAGATTTTTCGATACCTAAGTGTATATTTAATATCAAGTATCGTAAATTTGGATAGCGGGGAACAGACGGGATTGCGTGGTGAGCGGCAATAAGGCACCGCAGCCTCGGCCTAGACCCTCAAAGAGCCAATAGATCACCTCAGACCCCATATAGGGCTGATGTTCAGCCGGGGTTGCGGGGTAAGCGCAATGTGGCACCGCGGCCTCGGCCCAGAGCAGGAGAGGGAACAGAAGGTTTTAGTCAGTAGGTAGTAGTAGTAGTTTTTGACCTATAAAGCTACCGAATTATATTATTCATCATAAATAGATAAACGACTCTATAGCTATAACAGGTTAGGGTTCAATTTTACAACGTCTGACAAAATTCCTATGAGTCTAACTGCGGGAAAATTTATCGTTCTTTTCTTAATGTGTCAATTACCTATCACATACTAAGACGTTGTCAAAATGGCCCTAAAACATAGTTTATAAATAATTAATTAAAAAATGAACATACTTATAAATAACTGCATTGAAATGGTACGCTTATAATAATTGTAATAAAACCTTATTAGCAAAATGCTTTATATTACACAGAGATTATGATAATCAACCAAAATAAGGGGTTTCGGTTTTGCAATTCATAGATGGCGTTGGGGAAGCTTTAAGGCTTATTAACAATTTTTTTTAACTGGACTTACGAGGTTCCTTGGAGTTTCTTGCTCGTTCTTCTCCATAGGAATCTAACTACACTTTGGAACGAGCAAATAGCTTTACTCCGGGAACGGACCGACAGACGGCTTCTAGTTTTTTTACATATATTTTTTTTTACATCTGTTTTAAGGCCTATTTACTATACAAAAATTAATTGTTTCATTGAGACTGACACACATAAACAGTTCAAGTTTTGATACCCATTTATTTTTTGTTTGACGTTCAAAGGGGCCGGTGTTGGTCTATTTGAAATGTATTGACTTTGAGGGTAGTTTAAAAAATCAAATTGAACACATGTTTCGAAATATCAAAAACAAAAACCTATACTAATATTCTAAAGTTGAAGAGTTTGTTTGGTGGAACTTGCTATTCTCAGGAACTGCTGGTACGAATTGAACAATTATATATGTTATTTCGGGTCTGGGTGTGATGTGTATGTGAATTTGTATGTTTGTAAACGCACCTACGTCGCAGGAGAAATTTCTAGTGCCAGTGGGGCAAAGTTTAAAAAAAAATATATTAAATGTATTTTACTATATATGATTACTTTTGATATAAAGTACTTTATTTTTTTTTTTGGAATTAGTGAACTGGACTTAAAAGCTATTACGCTTCATTGCCATTAAAATCTAGGTACGCAAAACCATAACCCCTCATTTCGTTAAGGCGGATAAGTAACAAGAATAATTAGCATGCAAACATGTATATTTTAGCAAAAACTTTGAAATATTAAGACAAAATTTATTGAGAAAAATTCGCAAATTTATTCGTTCGACGACAGAATCGATTAAAAATGTTATTCGATTATTTATTTGAATCGATACTTTATAATGGAAAGCGCAAATTTTAGTTTTTCATAAATGCAGGGTGGTGTTGGGACTTTGTTGGTTTATTTTTTATTAAAATCACCAAAGCTCAAACGCTAACCTTTGGACTTTGTTGGTTTATTTTTTTATTAAAATCACCAAAGCTAAAACGGCGTTCGCGCTCGTATTGCCATTGAAAGGTTAATCATAAAATCATTCTTGATAATTCGTACAGGGGGTAGGTAGACTTGTACTTTTATTACACCTCCTTTTTGTTTAGTCCCTGTAAGCTTACACCCGGTTTCTGAAAGGCTTGTCAACGCTAAAATTAACTAATCTCCTGTTAAATCTCTTGTCAAGTCATCTGATTGGCTGTTGATAATCCAGTCAACCAATCAGATGACTTGACAAGATATTAAATTGATTTTAACATTGATCGGCCTTTCGGAAACCAGGGTTAGTTATGCTTAGAGTCAATTTTTGAAAATGTAGAAATTATAATTAATGTTTTATTTCTGTGTTTGAAACGGGAGCCAATTAAGCCAACAACATCCTCTAGCTAGACCATTATAATATTTTCTTCTTATAACGAATGTGAGGTAATAGTATTAAAGTTGCTTTATTTATATATAGGAAATCTCTGTTTGTCTGTTCGTTTGCTTACTTCTAAACTTCTAATACATATATAAATGCTAAAGGAAATGACACATTTGTTCATGACTATCAACAATTCAATTTTAAACTCAAATCGAAGGGGCACAAAGTACATTTTTGCTTGCGTAAAAATTATTATACATATCTAGCTGTATGTAAGACCGAACTACAAACTATTCCCGAACATCATTCGGTCATCGTACAGACTCAATCTATTACATTCACTCGCTCTTCCTTTTTGTAGGGCCCTATCTCTTCTTGCTTTCCTCACAGCTACGGGCAGGTCTCCGGGAGTTTTGACCCTCCCAGCTGGATTTAAGAGGTTCACATCACCGGCTGAGGAGAATATCTCACTTACCTGTTCCAAAGAATGCTGTCTCTTGATAGCCAAGTTCTTTAACGTCGGTTTCGGGGATCTATTCCCTTGGAATTTCAACTCAGAAGAATCAATCTCTCCATTCAAAGCCGCGAAGTAGACTGGATTGTCCCCACTAAACCCATTGACAGCGTTTTCCTTATCGTTGGGATCGCTAAACTCATTATCGAAATTCGTATATTTATTTTGATATTTATTAAACGTAAAATCAGTTACTTGACTAGATTCTTTAAGGACGTCGTTCTTTTTAATTTCTTGTTTAGGTATAGTTTGCATTGTTATTTTGGACCCGCCATTTTCTGATAGAAGCATTAAATGTTCATCTTCACTGCTTGAACAGTCCGAATTCATGTCGAATGGGGTAATGGGCCCGTTGAAGGAGTCTTGTGTGTCAATGTACTGTAGTTCTAAGTTGATACTCGCTCTCGAAGAACTTCCACTACCCATTCTGTTCTCACAACTCAATCTCTTCTTAGCAGTCGAGTCTTCGGACTCAGAATTCGATTTCAATATACTCTGACACGACGAAGTGTTTACTGAACGCTTAAGACTCTCCGAACTTCCTTTATTCTTAATTTCTATATAATCTGGCGGTTTCGCCTTCGGTACTATGACTGCGAATATCTGGTTCGGTGTTCTCGCTTCAGCGTCTCTATTCGGAAGCTCTTTGAAACCAAATACTTTGTTCTCCGAATCCATCATCATTGTTGGAGAAAGAGTCCTATTCGGAGGCGATAGAGTGCAAGGTCCTTCGAAGTTATACGGGCTCCGATCTTGCGTAATAGATAGATTTGAGGGTCTAATATCATTATTCGACGGCTTATCGACTATAGAGGTCAAAGTCCTTTGCGAATTCTCCGCTAACTTCACTTCGGTTTCCATTTTATTTCTATTGAGTTTCTCGAAAAATTTCTTGAAGCCCCATTTAGGTTTTTCGACCTTAACGTCTTGGAGGAGATTTGTTTGTTTGGGCCCTCTGTCTTCGTTGATTGTGACGTCATTTTGAACGTAATCTAGGGGTCTTTGGTAGGACCTTACTTCTGGTAAAGCCGAGTTTTCTAATAGAGAGATTCGGGGGTGGCTAGAGACTCTGGCTACTGAGAGACAATTCTCTTCTATGTTAGGGACTCTCAGAGTCTCTATGGGTGCAGTAATATCTTTGAGAGACTTGTGTATGAGTTCAACGGTGGTGGACTGTGTGTTTGTGTGTGTGTTGCGTTCTATGCACGCGTTACGCCCTATATGCGGTTGGGGGTACAGCAGGGGTGTGTGAACGTCTATATTTTGTGTAGACGTACAGTTTGAATTCTTGTCCATTTCCGGTGGTGATGGCACGTTGGAATCCGCTGTGGAAGAATGATTCAATATTATATGGTTATTAACAATAAGGTTCAAATCAGAGCACAGATAATTGCTAACGCGTTTTCAGATTTGCAAATTTTTTCAAAGATTATCTATTATACATATGATATAGTGATATGATTTAGAGATGAGAGGCGGGAGGTGGGTAGTTTTGGGCCTCCTGTAACTTCACTCACGCAGCGAAACACAACAACATAAGTGTTTATTCTGTATATTCATATTATATTATTTGGTGTTTATATGTTATTTTAGTATTTATATATTTTTTCTGTTTAATAGTTTATTAATTCTCATTGTTTTCCTTTTTCCTAATTGTGTTTACACAGTCAGTGTACACAACTTTTTATTCTAACTCTCCCATAACGAGCCTGCTGGAAGAGATTTCTGAAGAAATAAGCTGTGCCTTTGTACCTAATTGTTGTATTATTTTTCTTGTCCAACTTACTGTGTGTACATAAATTATTAAATAAATAAAGCCTGTGCCTCTGTGGTATCACTCCAGTTAAGCCGATCCATTCGTGCCGAAGCTTTGCTCTCGCACCTCTTTGTTAGAACCTCTAATAATTATGATAAGAGCATCAAATTGCTTATTTATCGTTCAAAATATTTTTTTTCACTGTAAGTGCTTTTTGTGTACAATAAATAACTGAATAACTCACCGGGTGGATGTGGATGTAAGTTGTTGTCATGTATGAGCGGACCCTGGGCGTGTAACATCTGTTTCAACTCAGCCATCCTTTCTTCCACGCAAACCGCTGTCAATCTGATGAAAGAAAAACATTATAATCATTTACAATGTTCAATAGTATGGGAGAGTACTGCGCGAAATTTGCGCAAATTGCGCAAATTAGCGCTAACTTGAGATACCAATCTCGAAATATTGAGAACTCTGTATTGCGAGATCTCGCGTCCCGTGGTAAATTTGCAAAGACGGTAAAACACTTTTAACATATACTAGTGTTGGAGGTGTCAATGGGCAACGCTGATTGCTTAGTAAATCAATAAAAATAAAATAAGGACCCTTTTAGGTATTTCTTGCATTCCATAAAACAGTCATAAACAGTATGAAATTAATATGATTATGATAAAAAAATAATAAGATTGTAATAGTAATATATGGAAATCCATTACATTTTTGTAGTTTATTTAAAAATATGAATTATTTTTTTATTTGAATTTGAGTTTTTATTTTAATTGACGTATGGTAATAACAATATCCATTCTAATATCCTATCTTCGCTGATTGCTTACCATCAGGCGATAAAAGCTCTATGCCATAAAAAACATTTGCACAACTTGCGCAAAACTTTAGCGCAACCTGCGCAACCTAGAAAAACAAAATGAAATCTCTTGTTAATTTATATAGAAAAATATGAATAAAAGAATTCTATATTATAGTGTTGTTTATTTAAATAATTACTTACCTAGCCTCAGCATCATGATCCCAGCATTCGTCGCAGGTATCGGCAGCGATCTTCAATGCTCTGGATTGTTGCACCGGCCCTTTAGGTAGTGGGGGCCGAGCCTTGTTGCGGGAAACTAAGCTCTGTGTAAGAGAGAGCATGGTTTAAATTACTATAGCAACACAATTAAACGCTTTCATATGTTTGTTTGAACACTAGTTACGTCTCACGCGGTTTCACCTGCTGCTCGGCTCCTACAGATCGTAGCCTGACGTTTTATAGCCTTCCTCAATAAATGGTCCTTTAAACACAAAAATATTTTATCAATTCGAACCAGTAGTTCCTGAGATTAAAGTGTTTAAACAACACTCGGGTCTGGTTCTGGTCGGCGGACGGTGGACGGCGAGTAAGGGTAGCTCGCCGTCCACAGACCCGCGCTTCATCAATCCTTTGTATTTAAGTTATCAACTCTTTTATAAAAGTTACGAAGGGAAAATTTTGTTGACTTCTCCTGCCCAGAGTAAGGCGAGAGAAAGTGTCAGACTCTTATTGACTAAAAAACCTCCCCGTTCCTTCTCCTGCTCTGGACCGAGGTCGCGGCGCTACGTGTCGTACGCTCGGATCTGGTTCTGGTCGGGCGGCGAGCTATCCTAACTCGCCGTCCGAAAACCCGCGCTTACGGTGGCCGGAGATCATATCTCGATCCTCGACGCCCGGAATGTCGACTACTTTGCAGTTGGGACGCGAGGAGGATAGTTCCCTCACGCGCTCCGCCCCCTTTTTTGCGGGCATCACTGCTTCGCAGAAAGAGGAGGCGGTTTCCCAGTTCCTCTCGTATGGATGACCCCTAATGTACTATTATCTACTTAAAGTATCGTACCTGCATCTGTGCGAGAGTGGGTCGCGGCGGTAGTCCGTGATGGTGGTATGGCAGCGCGTAGGAGGGCAGAGCCCCGGCGTGGGCCCCGCGGGTCCTCCACAGCATCTCCCAGAGCACGAGGCCGAGCGCGAACACGTCCACCGCGCACAGCGCCGCGCGCGCCCCCGACAGGTCCAGCGCTCCTTCTAGCGCTTCCGGAGACAGGTAGCGGAGGGTACCCGCCTGGGGAATTGAGCTTGACTTTAGTAGTTTTCTTCATCTTCATCATTATCAGCCTATATGTGCCTACTGCTGAGCAAAGGCCTCTTCCCACGAAACGAATGCTCAAACATTAATCACCACGCCTTTTTTTGTGAAGGAAAATTCAAAATATTTCTCTCGCCCAGGGTGGGGCGGGAGGGAGTGTCAGACTCTAAAAAAAAAACCCCAGTTACTTCTTTTGCTTTGGGCCGAGGCTGCGCTAACTCATTGCGCTTACCCCGCAACCCCGGCTACTATATTTAACTTTAAAACGAATAACTTAGTACAATACGATATGTGACAACTAGCCAAATTCAATACTTTTATTGAAAGGTCAATAACGAAACTGTTCTATGAATTTGATATGGAAAACTGAAATGTGGCGTCATCATATTTTTGGGTCAAAACAGCATAGGTACTTTTTCATTCAATTCAATAATTATCTTAGGAGTATTCTTAAAATGTATCAAATATAAATCTTGTATTAAGTAACTACATCGTCAAATCCATCAGTGTAGTACGATTAATTGTAAGAAAAATTGTTTTGTCTACAAAGTAAAATACCTTATTTTATTTGTTATAGTATGTTATATATAAAAATGGATCGCAAAATGTGTTGGTTTTTTTTTTTTTTTGTGAGGGGAAAATCATCAAATGACTTCTCCCGCCCAGGGCCGGGCAGGAGGGAGTGTCAGACTCTTACTGACTAAAAACCCCCCTGTTCCTTCTCCTGCTCTGTGCCGAGGTCGCGGTACCTTATTGCGCTTACCCCGCAACCCCGGCTGAACATCAGCCCTTTAGGGCCCCGTCTGTGGTGGTCTATTGGCTCTTTGAGGCGCGCGCGGAACGCTACGCGCCGTACGCTCGGGCCTGGTTCTGGTCGGGCGGCGAGCTGCCCTTACTCGCCGACCGCAGGCCCGTACTTACGGTGGCCGGAGATCGTCCCTCGATCCCCGACGCCCGTAGTGTCGCCAGTTGCGGCTGCTGGGGCGTGAGGAGGAGGATTGCTCCCTCACGCGGGCCGCCTCTCTCTTTGCGAGCATGACTGCTTCACAAAAGGAGGAGACGGCGTCCCAGTTCCTCTCACTCCGCACCATGGCCTCGACTAAGGCCGGGCGCGAGAGGTCGCCGCCGCCGATCACTTCCCTGAGGATACGGCGGTGCTCAGCCCAGGCAGGGCATACCGCCACCGTATGCTCCACCGTATCCTCTAGGTGGTCCTCACAATGACGACACTCGGGCGTTTCCTCCCGCTGAATCCGAAACAGGAACCTACCGAAGCTGCCGTGCCCGGTAAGCACCTGCGTCAGGCGGAAGGTGAGGACGCCGTGGCGTCTCTCAAGCCACTCCTCAAAGAGGGGTCTTACCGCTGCTATGGTAGCGTGCCCGGCCCTCGGTTGCGACAGTCGTTGTCTCCACTCTGCCGTGAGATCTCGCCGGAGCTCATTCCGCCACGCACTTATTTGGCGCGGCAGAGGATCTTCGCCCCGGCGACGCGCGTCTGCGCGCAAACTGTAGACGCGCGCGAGCGCCTTCGCTTCTAGATCCCACGGCGGTGATCCGGCAAGGAGGTTCGCCGCCTCCCCGGAGATCGTGCGATACCCGCGGATTACTCGTATAGCCATGACCCTCTGGGACGCGACCAGCGTACGAGCCGGCCGCCGCTTCAAGTCCGGCGCCCACACAGGGGCACCGTAGAGGGCCATGGATCGCACAATCCCCATATACAACCTCCGGCAGGAGGCGTTTGGCCCCCCGAGGTTGGGAAGGAGCCGCTTGAGCGCGGCCCCAGACCGTTCCAACTTAGGGGCCAAACGACGAAAATGCTCCGTGAAGTTCCATCGGCTGTCGAGGACGAGACCCAGGTACTTCATCGCCGACTCGACGCCGATGGTAACTCCTCCTGCCGTTACTTGGGACCCACCTGGAGGTGGCGCGCTCCGACGGCCATAGAAGCACATGGCCTCGGACTTGTGGAGCGCCACCTCGAGTCCCAACTGCCGGATCCTTGCAACGACTGTCGCAACCGCTTGTGACATCAGGTCGGCCGCCGCCTGATGCGACCTCCCGTTCGCCAGCACCAGCGTGTCGTCAGCATAGTAGACAATGCTGACGCCGCTCGGGAGGTCGGTGCGTAGCACCCAATCGTACCCGATGTTCCACAGGAGAGGTCCCAGGACCGATCCCTGTGGGACACCGCGCGACACCTCTCGCCGATTCCACACGCCCCGGTGACCGGGGTAGATGACGCATCTGTCCGTCAAGTAAGCCTCGACTACACGACGGAGATAGGCAGGCACCCGGTGATACCGGAGTGCCTCCAAAATGCAGCTCCAGGGGAGCGAGTTAAAGGCGTTGGCGATGTCCAGAGACACCGCCACGACGACTCGCCTCCCGGCCAACGCTGTCCCCGTCGTGAGGTCCCTCACGCGCATGATGGCGTCCACCGTGGAGCGCCCTCTTCGGAAGCCGAACTGGCCGTCCGCTAAATCCGGCCCCCTTCCAGACAGGTGCCCGACGAGGCGGTCTGAGATTATCCTCTCGAACAGCTTTCCCACCTCGTCCAGCAGCACAATGGGCCGGTACGCGGACGGGGAGTCCGCAGGACGCCCCGGCTTCTTCACGAGGACCAGTTTACCCGTCTTCCACGACAGCGGAAACTGGCCTCTCTCCAAACATGCGCTGAACAGACCAAGTAGTCGAGGCCTGAGAGCCTCCGACGCCAGGACCCAGACCTTGGCATGCAGCCCGTCAGGTCCTGGGGCGGTATTCTTGCCGCTCAGCCGGCGCACCGCCACTCTCAAATCTACCTCGGTCACTTCCGGAGCGGATTCGTCTTCGTCGTCGATGTAGCCCGCATTGGGCACCGCAGGGGGCGGGGGCATAGCCGGAGGCGTGTAACCCGTCTGTGGTCGGGGGAATAGCGCCCCAACCACTTCGTCCACGACCTCCGGCCGGAGACTCTGAGTCAGTGGGGGCGCCCAGGTGCGGAGCTTATCACGCACCATCCGGTAGGGGCGTCCCCACGGGTCTCTGTTCAGAGTCTCCAACATCTCCTCGCGGGCCCGATCTTTGGCCCGCCGGATCTCCACCCTGAGGGAAAATGTGTTGGTAAGCGCATAACTCAACAACGCCTGGACTAATTTTGCTAATGCTTTTTTTGTTGTGTTTGTTATTGTCGGGGCGGGCCGCTAGTATGTTATAAATACCTCGGTGATCCTTGTAGGGGCGGAGCGGTCCCTCGCAGCGTGCAGCAGTTGCGCAAGACCGAGGTCGGCCAGGCGAGCATCGCCGCCGGCCGTCACTAGTACGTTGTTGCTGTTCACGTCGCGGTGGACTACGCAGGGCTTGCTACCAGCTACGGAAGAAAATTACTTAATAAGCAACTATCATAACACATACTACATTTTCTTTCTCCTCTCATTTTGTTCTAGGACTATGTGTCCTAGATTCGCACCAACCGCAAGAATTCTCTGCACCGCCCTATGGTTGACTGTTGGAGAATGCCTTAGGGCATTAAGTCCGCCATTCAGACTGTTTTGTATGAAGAAGAAATAAATAAATTCATTGAAAACTAGCTTCCGCAGCAGCGCAAAATCATTGCGCTAATGGTTGCGCAAATCTTTATTAAATGCTTAAACATTAAATAAATATTTCAAGTAGACCACAACAGGCACTTTACAATGTCAAGCAAAAAAGATATATCATCTTTATAAATATCTAAATTAATAATCAACTAAATAACACGAAAAAACAACTTACTAGGCGTATGTAGATGCGCTAATGCAGCCGCTAATCCATGCGCAAGATGCGCAAACTCCCTCCAGGAGAGCGGGGCGGCCGTGAGTCGCGCGCGGAGCGGGCCCGCGCATAGTTCCAGCACCACCAGCTCGGAGCGCCCCCCTCCGCCCGTCAGCGTCGCGCGACTGTCGCTGCCTGCAGACACGTTGGAATTATTCATTTATTTTTCATTCAACACACTTCCCAAGGCAATTGACTTGACTGTACGGTTGGTGCGGTGGCTGGGCAATTGGCTGCTGTGCAACGTGTCGCAGGTTCGATTCCCGCGCGTAAAACTCTGTGGGTGATCCACAAATCGTTGTTTCGGGTCTAGGTGTGACATGTATGTAAAATCTTCCCAAAGAAGAGCATCTAAAGGTGGGGAAAGTTTCTTTAAAAAAAATTTTGCACGTAATGACACGTATAATAAAACTGTGACTTTTTCATTACCATTATTCACAAGTGAGTAATAGTTTGTTTCAAATTATTGGTTCAGTTCCGTCTCACACTTGCGCTAAAATGCTATCTCAAATGCTCAAAAAAGAAACCTCATTTTAGTCTATGGCCGATGCGTGCGCACATTTTTCCCGCCATTACGAAACATTTTTCAAAACTCGTCTCGTTTTCTCTTTTGAAGTTATTTATTTAAGAACTAGCTTTTACCCTCGACTCCGTAAAAGTGGAATTGTGACTTCCTGCAGATTTTTGGTATAAAATCAAAAACAAACTATGTCTGTAACAAATTTCACAGAAATCTTTTCAGTTTACAAGGCATGACGAAAAGACAGGTAGACATACAGACAGACAGAGTTACTTTCGCATTAACGAGTATAATATTAGTTTGGATTATTTTATTCGGAAGTGTGTTGAAAATTATTTGATGTGATAATCATCTACATACAGGTGGAAACCAGTCTCACTTTCACCAGAACTTACGAACTTAAACCAACAAGCAACTTTGCGAAACCGGGGCGGGTCGCTAGTCTATACTTCTATACTAATATTATAAATTTGTAAGTTTGTATGTAGAGGGTAATTTTTGGAACCGCTAGTCAGATTGCCAAAATCTTTCGCTGATAGATAGCGACAATGTTCCTGAGTGCTATAGGCTATAAAACATCACGCTACGATCAAATGGAGCTGAGCAGCGGGTGAAACCGCGTGAGTAGCTAGTAAGCTATAAAAATAAGGTTAACTTACCATAGTATCTCAGTATATTAGGATGAGCGAGATGGGGTAATGCGTATATCGCTGCCTCTCTCTGCCACGTACTCGTGTTAGAGTACAGCTTGACTGCTACGGGAACGGAACCTAGACTGCCACGCCAGACTGAACCGAATTTGCCTTGACCTGCACCATAAAAAAAAACAAAAATATCTTTAGTCTGTGGATTCTCCCAGGAATAAAGTGTATATTTATGAATTGGGAGACAGAAAACAATTCAGTAGTTTCCAACTAGTCAAATTCAATACTTTTATCCAAATGTCAAAATCGATACTTTTCTATGAAATTTGGTTGAAACTCCAAATTATGACGTCATTTTTTTTATGTAATTAATCGGCAAACGAGCAGGCGGATTACCTGATGGTAAGTAATCAGCGCCGCCGATGGACACCCGCAACGGAGGAGTTACGAGTGCGTTGCCGACCTTTTAGGGATTTGGGATTTGGAGATTTAGGGATTGAGGAGGGATTGGGGAGGGGAAGGATTGGGCCTTCGGTAACCCCACTCAAACGGCGAACACAACGCTGTGGTTGTTTCACGCCGGTCTTCTGTGAGGCCGTGGTATCACTCCGGTCGAGCCGACCCATTCGTGCCGAAGCATGGCTCTCCCACACTTATAGTAAAAATATCAAAAATGAAGTGTATCGACAGATCGATGAATAAAAGTATAGTTATTTTTCAATGTTTTATTGTATTGAAACGTTGAATTAATTTATTTTTGAGTCTAGGAAACTACCCAACTGTCGAGACTAGTATTGTCAATTTTTGTAAAATATTTAAGTTTACTAGTAGTTTTCTTCTTCTGGGAATCTTGAATCCTTGCTTAGCACCGCCATTTTGACTATGTATCGTGTGAAGAAAAAAAAATCTATAATATTAATCAGAATCGACTTACCAATATGTTCAATGAGCGTGAGGTTGTCGACGCAGGAGAGTCCAGTCGCTAGCGCATCCGGACCACTACCCATCACATCTCCTGTAAACAACTTGAGTATTAAAATACAAATATTCATTGTACTAATATTATAAAGAGGTAAAATTTGTAAGTTTGTATGTAAGGTCTTTAGTACCACTTGTCGGATTCCCAAAATTCTTTCACTTATTGATAGCTACAATGTTCCCAAGTGCTATAGGCTACAAAACATCACGCTACAATCAAATGGAGGCGAGCGGCGGGTGAAACCGCGCGGGAGTGGCTAGTATATGATATTTGATATAATACAGGAACGCCAGGGACAATAAAAATAATATAATATGTTAAAACAGAGTATTGTAAGCGTAAGCACAAGTCTGCGGACGGCGAGTAAGAGTAGCTCGCCGCCCGACCAGAACCAGGCCCGAGCGTATGGCGCGCAGCGTTCCGCGCGAGCCTCAAAGAGGCAATAGACCACCACAGACGGGGTCCTAAAGGGCTGATGTTCAGCCGGGGTTGCGGGGTAAGCGCAATGAGGCATCGCGACCTCGGCATAGAGCAGGAGAAGGAACAGGGGGGTTTTTAGTCAGTAAGAGTCTGACACTTCCTCCTGCCCGGCCCTGGGTGGGAGAAGTCATTTGATGATTTTCCTCTCACAAAAAAAAAGCCTAGGCCTAAAGCAGGGAAAAAATTGACGATTAAGATAAATCTCACCTTTTTCAATATTCAGTGTGTCGGTATCACTATGCGGGTGTCGATTCGACCGGCAGTAGAACTTGGTGAGTAGAAGCGCTAGTACTAGTACAGCTACTAGCGCTAGTACGGACGAGGCGAGTATGTTCGACGCTGCAACCATATTTTGGGCACCGCTGTCCATTGTCGATTCAGCTTTCATTGTCACCGTTTCCTCTTTGAGGGTTACTGTTGACAAAAAAATAAAAAAAAAGCTTTTTAAATTAAGTTGAAATAGAAATCAGTACGATACTATGTATATGTATTTTTTATTTCGGATCGTTAAGACGGAGCTCGCCTGGCTTGAAGCAACCTATTACTAGAGGTCTGGAGCCATGAAACATCAGTCATACCTTTTAGGAAGCACTGGCTTTGGCAAAAAAATAATACTACTAAAATCTTATAAAAAAAAGAAAGAAACAAAAATCATCTATTTGGCGCCGCACAAAGATATGTAGGTAAAATAATCAAGAAAAAAACAAAACAATAAAAAAGGGAAAAAAAAAACTCTACTTATCGTGTTAATCCTACTAATATTAGAAATGTGAAAGTTTGTGAGAATGTATGGATGTATGTTTGTTATTCTTCCACACTAAACCGGATGGACCGATTTGGTTTAAATGGATTGTAGATTGTGTGAGAAATCACACGCAGATAGACTGCTTTTATCAAATTATCACGCGGGCAAAGCCGCGGGCGGTAGCTAGTAATAATATAAAAAAGGTACAAACTTCTTGAAGGAATAAAAGGCGTTATACATTTTTGTAAGTCACTCTCTAGAGAAATTAAACTTATTAGCTGGCTACACGAAGCTTCTATTGTTGCGTAATAATCCTCGTAAATAAATATGAGCCCCGGGCGTGGCTTGAAATTGATCGAGTGACCTCGTCGAATTTCGGAATAAGTTTACTTACAGAAGTCGGCGTTGCAGTAAGTGTTGGTGCAGCAACAGAATTTGGTGCCAGGAAGTCTCGGGGCTGACACTCTGGTACACTTGTCGCAGGAGCTTCGCCCTTCGGTCTGCGAGGATCGCCAGCATCCTGAGAAACAGTGGACATGTTGATTATTTTTCTTTATTAACCCCTGGTATGCCGAAAATAGTTTTAAGTGAATTTATTGAAAATAATGACTTACCAACGTGAATCAATTGAGAAAAGATCTACTAGTTTACCTCCGACACAAAAACCATGGTGTGTTATAAGTTTGACGTGTCTGTGTGTATTGTATATGTGTCTGTCTGTGGCATCGTAGCTCACAAACGGATGATCCAATTTGAATGCGCTTTTTTTTTTGTTTGAAAGGTATACCAATCGAGTGTGTTTTTAGCTATGTTTGGTGGTTCGGTTCAGGCCTTCAAGGTCATCAGGTGTTAGGTGGAATAGGAATGTTACTCAGTTTCCTTGCAAGATTTTTGCTTTTTATAGGGTTTAGCATAATAATTAACATTTTCCCATAATAATTGCGTACTTTTTTTAGGTCGGGTATTACTTTTAATTTTGTTTAAATTTAGAACACGCTATTTCGGCCATCGCTGAAAATGAGTGCTGTACACTGTCATAGTGTCGCTGCATATGCTGAGCGAGGGCCATTTCGCATGCTTGTGACGCATATTTTTCCTCTTATATATTATTTTTTAATTCTATTACCATGTTTTTTGTTTTTTATGTTTATACATAACTTTATTTTGTGTCTTATATGCGTCAGAGATGCAAATAAATACTTTTTGCATTCCTATAAATATGCATAGTTTTTTTTAAGGTTAAAAATTATGTAGTTTCATAGACAATGATCCCTTACCTTGTCCTAAAACAGTGATATTGGCATCCTTGTCCTGATGCCACAGAGTATAACACGAGGCTTTCGTATCTGTGCACTGCTCTACTTGCGCCAATTCGCCGTTGGGTAGAGTGGTCTCTGATATGGGACCTGTTTCTGGAAAAATAATACATCTTAAACTAGATGACTTATGACTATAGTTATTATTGGTCAGTTAGTCAGTAGCAGAATTTAAATCTGCCCATTTCCACCCTAATCTTTATCACACTGGAACGGATAGTTCTTTTGTCTTTTGTCACAAACCTTTTAATGGGAGGATTGTAAATATGGTGAATAACAACAAAGTATAATATTGCATAGTAATAGAGAGACGGGATGTGACTATTAGTTTTATTTTTAAATTGCCTGGGTGTGATGTGTATGTGAAATTGTTTGTTTGTAAACACACCCACAACATAGGAGAACACCCTAGTGAAAGAAAACATAAAAAAATTAAATGGTTTACATACCAAAGCTGTCATTTTCAACCATCAACTGAGCATTTCTCTCATCGGCATATGAAGGGGTAACACTCATAGCCACGCTATCATGAATTTTGTACAAACATGATATTGTTGGACCCTTTGTAGTAGTCCTCTCTGTTGGTATAACAGCCGCCTTAACTTTATACATCTTAATATCATTGGACAAGCCATTCTTTCCTTTATCACGCCCCGAACTGATAGCTTTCTTCTCAAAAGACCCAACTATGTTGTCTCTAACAGTGTCTGAAGTGAAATGATCAAGTCTACGCATCTCTTGAGAAGACCCCACAAATTCATTTGAATTTGGAACATCTAAACTTCTTTTCTCAATTCTCATGTGCCTAGCTGGCCAGTATTTACGCTTGATAGCTGGGTTAGATACTTTTTTCTCAACAATATCATCTGGTATGCTTCGTTTCTTCAATAATTTTGCATGTTGGTATACTTTTGAGACATCTCTCACTTCTACATAGTTTGGGGCATCAGCACTCCTCTTCCCAATAACTCTTGGATGATCATTTACAACTGGCCACTCATTATTCAAATCTTGTTGGTTATTCCATTGTATAGTTCTTCTATGATGATATTTAGTAAAAGTTCTCACATAGTGGGATGGCTTTAGGTGATGAATTCCATTCCTTATATCTTGAGATTCTAGAGGCCGAGAAGTGAGTACCTTTGCCGTAAAAATAAACAGGAACAACACTATGCATTTCAATAGTGGTGTCACTCTGTAGGAAATTATTCCTTCCATCATGTTTTAGATGTTTTGTAACAAAAACTTTGTTACTCACGTCATATTAGAGAGAAATTAAGTCTTTACGCGTGTATGTTGTACTGCATGTAGTAAGTCACAGCCTAGCAACGGAGATACTGCAGAAATATCGATTTTTCTGCGTTCACTATCATATGGTTGAATGCAGTAATTTAACGCTAATTACACTGTATATTTTAACACTTTACTAGGTATCGCACTTTTCACACAGTTTCCTACGTATTTAACATAAGATATAAACTTAAAATAATGAAATAATGATTATTTTTATGTCGCAGTTACCGTACTTTTGTGAAAGTAGTATTCTTTAAATTTGTTGACGTGTTATAGCACTAAATTAGTAACACGGTAATGGTTTGTTAATAAAAGAACTAATTGCGATTGATTTCTATGTTGTGTTGATTAATTAACTTGATTTTTTTAATTTAACAGGAAAAATCAATAGTATGTTGACAAACACACTACGCCAGACATTTTGAAGTCGTTTCGTTTCCTTGTTGTCAATCTTAGCTGACTAAAAAATAAATGTTTTTGTTCTAGTACCTAAAAATATAATAATTATAAAAACTATGTTGCAATTTATAAATGAAAACAAGCAATAAACACAAATATTTTATTCTGTATTGTAATCATTTTAAAAAGGCATTGGTTACTTTAATTTTTTTTTTTTTTTTTTGTTGGAGTTTATGGCCTGGATACGAGTCCTTTAAGCCAAGTCTTTTAATTTACTCGGTTTTATGTTATTATATACTTTCCAGAGTATTTTTAATGAAATTGTATAACGGCACTAAACACTTTGGATCACGTAGTAGATCTTCTAGGCGGCGGGAGGAAACATTATCTACAATTTCACTTAGTTCACTGGCTAAAATCAACCTTTGCATGTTGTAGTCACTGCATACCAACACTATGTGACTAATGTCACATAAGACGTTACAATTCAAGCACTTGTCATTTGCATCGAGTTTGAGTCTTGCAAGGTGTGCGGGTGTTCTATGATGTCCGAATCGAAGCCTGCATATAGTAGATATAAAATCTCGACTGGCGTACTTGTATTGCTTTTCATACCACGGTCTCACAGGTAAGTCCGATTGAATAGTACCGTACCACTTTCCTTTTTCTTCTTGGTCTTTCTTCCAGAAGTCTTTCCATACATGTTTTATGTTTTCTCTAATCAGTGCATAGCAGTCCGTAAAAGGTACCTTTACAATATTAGATACATTTATACAATTTATCCCATCAAATGCAGCTCTATCAGCGATTTCATTGCCAGTAATACCTTTATGTGAAGGGATCCACATAAAAGAAACTGAAATGCCTTTATTTTTTAAATTAAATAAAACTTCTCGAATCTTAATTAAAAGATAATTTGTTTTGAAATGAAAATTAATATTCTCTAATGCTTTAATCACACTTAAAGAGTCAGTCAAAATTAAATAGGTTGTGTAATGCATTGATGAAATTTTTTTCAGGGCCTCAAGAACTGCATAAGCCTCTGCAGTGAATATGCTACATAAAAGACTAAGCTCAAAGCTTTGACAAAACTGAATTTGAGGATCATAAACAGCACTGCGAACATGAGACAAACCCTTACTGCCATCGGTATAAAGTCTATAATAGTGACTGTTAAGGTGAATAAAGTTTAATAACTCCTCATTATTACTAACTACTGTATTTATAATTGAGACTTCAAATAACAATATCTTGTACTTTGTGGAGTAACATGCCCAATGAGAACTTTTAATTATATTCGAAAATTTAAAATGTGCTTCCAGGATAACCTGAGATAAATCTGGGATAATATGACAGTGAAGGCCAGCCCCAGTCACACCAGACACATTGTGAACTACTGGATACTGAGGTAAAATTCTTCTTAAAACTTCATTATTATTAGCTGCAAATAGCTTTACAGAAAATCTTTGAGCAAGTAGATATCTTCTTATACTAAGGGGCATCACCCCTGTCTCAACTTCCATGGCACGGATGGGAGTTGAGCACATGGCGCCAGATATTATCCTCAGACCTTTGTTTTGTGCTATATCTAATCTATGTACATAATTACAATCAATATAGGCTAGACAACTGTAATCAAAATGGCTTCTTACAATGGCTTTGTACAAAATAGCAAGAGTAACTGGGTCAGCTCCCCAGGAGACTCCTGCCAAACACCTCATGATATTTAAGCCTTTCAAAGAATTTTGTAAAATGTACTTGATATGACCTTGGAATGTCAGTTTATTATCAATTTGCACACCTAAAAATTTATGACTGCTTACTATAGGAATTGCTTTATCATTGTATAACACAGACAAGCTAGGTAAATCTTTTGTTATAAACATTACATTACTTTTGTTGGGATTGATATTTAATCGAAGTTTATTGTTGTAGTAGTGATATAATTGACTAAGAGCATTATTAATATTAGCAATTGCCAAATCAATATCATTATGTACACTATATACAACAAGGTCATCAGCAAACTGCAAAATATTTACATTATCCATATTTACATATTTACAAATTTGAGATGTATATATATTATATAACAATGGGGACAAAGTTGCCCCTTGCATTGTTCCTTTTGACACTTGCCTAGGACCATGTAAAATATTATTGTGTTTTACATATAGTATTCTTTCATTTAAGAAAGAGTATATCCATTTACAAAATTTTCCTGGAATACCTAAATCAGACAGAATTTTAATCAAAATACCAGGTTGCACATTATCAAATGCCCCCTGTACATCTAAAAAGGTACATACTGCACTAGCATTATTATTTCTTGCTCTTTTCAGATCTGAGATAAGAGAAACAAAGCTGTCTGCACAACTTCTGCCTCTTCTGAAGCCAAATTGAATAGTTGGGATAATGCACTTCGATTCCACATACCAATCAAGACGAATCTTAACCATGTTCTCAAAAATTTTTCCAAGACAGGATGATAATGAAATAGGTCGATATGAGTTAGCATCATTGACTGGTTTATCTGGTTTAAGCACTGGTATCACACATTGTGTTTTCCAAGACAGTGGAATTACTTGATGGAGCCAAAGTGCATTAAGAATGTTCAGAAACAATTTTTGCACCAATATATGTAAATGTTTTATCAAAATATAAGGAAAGTTGTCCAATCCAGGCGCAGAATTTTTTCGGGAATGAAGACTCATATTAAACTCATGCCATGTAAAAGGTTCAATTAAAAACTGTGTCTCATTATTATCATTATTAATATTAAAATACATATCAACATCAACTATACCATCAGATCCATTATCTGATAGTTTATCTAAGAGTGGCAAAACAAATTCATCAGAAAGTGATTTATTATGAGTTTTCCTACCCTTAAACATTTTAATATAGTTCCAAATCTTACTGATAGGAGTATTTCTATTAAAAGACTCACAGAGATTGCGCCAACCATTTTTCTTTTCTTCAGATATGGTTCTCTTTTTCAAGGCGTCTAACTTCTTATATATAATGTAGTTATCCATTGTAGGATTACTTCTATAGTATTTTAAAGCTTGATAAGACTTAATGACGCTTTGTTCGCACTTCTCATTCCACCATGGCGCTGGTGGCCTACTTCTATATGAACTAGTCTTGGTATACTTTGGGATGCAAAGTAACTTCAAAGAGCTAAGTCTATTACAGAAGGTATTATATGACTTCAAAGGGTTCTCAGTATCCACATTGATATCATTAAATAAAGTTTCAGATATTTCACAGTACTTCACCCAATCTGCTTTTTTGTATAAAAATTTCTCTATTGGAGGATTTGTTTGATATTTATTAACAGCTAAAGTAAGATTTGTAATTGTAGGGAAATGATAACTACCCATACTGTCATCATGTACAGTCCAATCACACAGTGGTGCTAAAACTGCACTTGTAAAAGTGATATCAATAGCTGATGGGTTACAATTAGGCCGATTATTTGTTGTGAAACTGCCATCATTCAACAAGCATAGATCCAACTCATCAATTATATCATATAGTTGCTGCCCTCTGCCCTTGGTGCTTACACAGCCAAAAGCAATATGATGAGCATTAAAGTCTCCTGAAATGAACACTGGCTTGGGCAGTTCTTTTATGATATTTCTCAATTTGTTTAATCTAGTATGGCCACTGTGTGGTGGACAATACACAGTCAAAATAGATAAGTCACCTAACTCTGTAGAAAGAGAAATTGCAACAGTTTGTACATCTTCATAAAATGTGGTTTGTAAAGTTGTATACTTTAAATTATGTTTTATGAGGATAGCTATTCCCCCATGTTCATTAGCTGCATTTTTGAAATGTATATTATATTCAGGAATGTGGAAAGGTTTGTTATCTTTAATCCACGTTTCATTTAAAAGGCAAATATCAATATTTTTATCATTAAGAAACTTTAAGAGTAAGGGCTTTTTACTGTATACACTTTGTATATTAAACTGAGCAATGCATAGCTGAGATTGTATATTGGAGTCTATATCCATTATGTAAGATTCTCCAGTAGAATATCTTTAATAGTTGTTGTATTGATTGGAGGATCATCCTTGCCCTTATTGGCGATTACAATGAGTGTGCGAACAATGGCCTTAAGTAAGTCATTATTTGCCAGGAGTTGAGCCTTAACATCAGCAACAGAAATTATTTTAGGTTCAGTATTTACAGGTACATTATTTATAGGTGCAGAATTTACATTTTTATTTACAACAGAATTTTTATTTACATTGACCTGAGGTCTTGGTTTGCGCAATGGTGGGAAATCTCCCTGAGTCACATTAAGTTTAGTTTCAGCCTTACTAGCGTAAGTAATACGTTCCTTTTTTTCCATTATCTTTTTTAACTTGATTTCGCATGCCTTTGAAATTGCTAAATGTGGTCCACCGCAATTAGCACAGCAGATTGCTGAGGGGTTATCACACTCTCTATATGAGTGGTCCCCAGCACAAATGCTACATTTTTGTTTGCCATTACATATTTTGGCTGAGTGGTTAAATTTGAAGCAACGGTAACATTGTTGTAGAGGAGGGATATAGTCAAAAATGCGGTAAGAGAATAAGTCATATTGTACATTTTGTGGTAAAGAACTGGACAGAAAGGTAATGCTCACTGTATTAAGTGGTACCCGTTCTTGTCCAACCTTCTTGGTGAATCGTCGCACTGCAATTATTTCGTACTCCGACTCTAGCTTTGAGTAAAGCTCCTTGTTAGAGATGTTTGTGGGTACGTATCGGATAATTCC